CTTCTGCCTCCTTTCCCAAATATTTTGTGTATTTTTCCTGCTGGCTCCCAGTCAATAAAGATATAATCAATGTGTTGAGCAAAGCAGTGACATAGTTTTCCATACCAGTCCATTGGTCAATACAGAACAAGTGAGTTGACTGCAGTCAGTTACTGTCAGGTGGGCTCCCATCTGTAAGACATGGTCCGGTGACAAAGGGTGAGGATGAACCTACAGAACAATCTGTATTTTTGACAAAGGCTGTACACAGTAGAGTGCAATATGTATCCAAGATTGCCAAGCTCCTCTGAATAAAACGAAAACCACAGATGCAGGTGCTTGTTTGTTTAAGTCTTACTTGTTATAGGAGTTCAAAAAAATCTCTACTTCTAGTTCTGAGTTACCACAGGACTCCCACAAGGATGGGAAACATTCCCAGAGCAAACAGGTAGACCTACCTTTTTATGTTTTCCCAGTGGGAACTGGTGATAGTTGTTTGTTACTATTGTCATCAACATTCTTTTTAACTTCTTGGAATAACTAAACTCTTCCATAAGTAATCATCCTGGCTGATGCTGTGGGTCCTTTCTTTTGAGAAACTATATCAAATGCAATCAAGCTTGGACAACTTCCTGAGCCATCTACTGTATCTCAGCCACAAAGGAGAGAGTTTATGAGCAATTCCTTCCACAGCAGAAAGGGAGGGCTCCTTCGTCTGCAGGATTACTCTCGTATGGGGGAGAAGATAAGAATTGGGATTGCAAGGCACTGATCTCGCTTTGTGGTTTTTTTCAACAGTTTGGTGCATGAGTAACCTCCATTCCTGGGCTTGCATAATAAGAGGAAGGGAAATGAGATCTCAGGGAGGGACTCAAAGATCATCAGGCAAAACTCCAACACTAGCTCTTCTTACTAATCCATTTTATGTCATCCTCATTCACACTTCAGCTTCTTTTGCCTAACATGTCTATTAGGATTTATGCAGGAGAAACTCAGAGTGACTCAGATAACTTTCCTTTGGCTTAAGAGTTGTTTGGATTCTAGTAAGTCAAACCAGGCATGATGCTATCAGATGTTGAGAAACACAGAACTGAGCTGGTGTCTTCTGGGAACAGAAGACATAAGAAAGGCTCAGCATGGCCTTGGAAGAACCTAACTGGGGGAAGATGTCTTATGGTTCCCAGATCTATTTGAAGAGATAAAATTGAAGTTCCATTTCCATCTGTCATACTCCCCTGGTGTCCCAGGCAGTGAACTGTCTGAGACAGGTGGGGAAATTTGTCCAAATACGGGATAGCTGGTTTTGCATGTGAAGGTTCAGCACATGGGACACATAGTTCTGTGAAAACCCTGTTTTACCTTTATAAATATGTGCTCCAATGTGGCAAAAAAATAGAAATAGTGATGGTGGGAAACATGACCTTAAAACTAAGTGTCCTCTAAAAATGACCTCGATATTATCATGATAGCTAACTGTTTGATCTGCTGGAGGGTGCTGGAGGGCTATGAAGATGCTCAGAAGGCTGGAGCACTTCTGCTATTAAGACAGGATGAGGACATTGTGGTTGTTCAACCTGGAGAAGAGAAGGATCTGGAGAGACCTTATAGCACCTTCCAGTACCTAAAGAGGCTATAAGAGAGCTGGAGAGGGACTTTTGTCATGGACATGAAGTGAATGACTTCAAACTGTCTGACAGGGGAAGGTTTAGATTAGAAATTAGGAAGAAATTCTTTATTGTGAGGGTGGTGAGACACTGGTACAGTTGTTGTTGTTTGAAGTACCTAAGAATCAGATGGATTCATAACTAAGTTTTTGTTAGCATCACACCAGGGCTAATCCCTATCCGCAGGTCACCCAGAATTGTCAGACCTCTCCCTGTCATGATTTTGGCCAATTCCCTCAAACTGGGGAACTTCTATTAAAATCTCTCTTAGCATTAGACATTCAAGCCAGAACATCTCTCAGCTGATTATTTTTTACCTGACCAACAAAACATTTGAGTACACAATTGTCCCATCTAACAGAAAATACTGCTTTTTTATTTTAGGCTGCAAATAAAGAAAACAAAATTTACAAATCTTTCTTTAGCAAAAATCAGAGGTTTTAAGCCAGATTCATGTTTTCCCATTCTTCCTTTCAAATCACCAGTCCTGGCAGTGCTGACTCCTGGACTTACATATATATACATACATACATACATATATATATAGAGAGAGAGAGAGAGACATAAATATAGATATGCATATATATATATATATATGCATATATACACTGGACTTTTTTACATATATGTATATATTAACTGGATCTCAGCCACAGGATTTAATTCCGAATTTCTCCAGCTTTGAACTGGCATTTTGCTTTACTGAGACCAACTTTGACACGCCAAAGGCCTAACATGAGGCATGGAAAAAATGAAAAATGGAAAACTAAACAAAAGCTTCCAGCTTAACAACTTCCCCTACCCAGAGCTATAAAATGTGAACAGTGTAAAGACCCAACTGAATGGACCCTTGCAGGAGACTGTTCATGTCTGGAGATACCACTGTGATGTTTACATGGAAAATCACAACCCAGATTAAGGGGTTTTCCCATGGTTTCCCCAAAAAGCATTTGGGTCATCTGAGTCCTGAGCAGAGATTTCCTCTCTCTGGCTCCTTGGGTCTGCCCCTTGGTAGAGCTCTTGCGGTGTGATGATGATTCCCAAAAGGCAGCTCATGAGACATGGGCACAGAGAGAGCACATAATGCAGATTAGCCACACTTCTATGTGGAAATGCAGAGGGTGGAGAGGAGTAACTGTGACATCTTCCTCACACCCCCAGTATGTCCTGCCTCGAGCCTCAGTCCTGATCAGAGCTGGAGTCACTGGGGGGGTTGGGGGTCACACAGCAAATCTTCATGGAATGACGTACTTGGAGAAAGCAGCTGAGCAGATCCAAAAAAAACCCTTTTCACCAATTTTTCATCACTAAGAGATGCTAAACACAAATCTCAGCAACATACTTGCTTGAAGGTCATGGTCTGAGCAAATTCTGATGTGGGTATGGAGCATGTGGGTATTTCAATGCTACTAAGAGTAAGCACAGGGAGTGTAGTTGTACCTTCTTGACCTAAACTGCTTAAGAAACAAGCAACCACACAGCTTGGGACCTGTTAAAGGCCACGAATACACAAGGGGTGCAATTTGAGAAGCTGCAGCCAGCCACAGGGTATGTCCTCTGTGAATGTGGTCTCTTGCAATCCCCTTTGACTTCTCCAGTGTCACAGCAGCATGACACTAGGTAGACTTCTGATTCTCTTTCCAGTATCAAAATCATGACTCAAGCCACCACCAGGCCATTACATGTAGTAGTCAAGAAATTCTGGTGAAGGGCTGCTCTTTCAAAGCCCCAGGGAGCTCATCCTCCAGTGATGGAGTTCAGACTCTCTGCTTCCAAAATTGTGGATTAATATCTGTTTGATGGGGGATTTTTTTATTGTATTCCAGGGGTTGCACCATACAGTTTATAAGCCCCCATTTCCTGCCTGCTGGCATAGCTCAAACTTTGGTGCTGCCTCATCCTACTGTGCACCCTGGGGTGCCAGAGCTGACCTTGGCCCTAAAAGCCTGGAAAACTGGGTGCAGGCAGTGTTCAGGAATAGGACTCACTCCTGCAAATACAGCCCTGCAGAGGTCAGGGCTGGAAACAAGGTTGCGCTGCGAGGTTACCTCTGGAGTAAGTAAGCTTTCTTTTCGCGAGAAAGCAAAGGGACAATAAGGAATTTTGTCCAGAGGGGATGCAGAGCAGCAGGGAGAGGGAGTGTGTCTGTGTGTGTGTGTGTGTGCAAAGCCGACTTGACACCTCCCCCGCTCCTTTCCCCCATAAGGGGGGTCTGCCAGTTCAGGAGTGGCACAGCCTAGCGCAAGTCCTGCCTCCTTCCTCCTCCTCCTCCTCCTCCTCCTTCTCCTCCTCCCAGATGTTCCCTTGTGTGCAGCCATCTGTTGAGCTCCCTCCTCCCTCCTCCTGCGGGGAAGGGGGCAGTCATCTTGCCCAGCCAGCTGCACGCCTTGGAAGAGGAGGAGAAGGGAGAAGGAGGAGGGAAGAAGGGGACAGCCGGCCCCAAGCCTTGCTGCTGCCGGCTCCCGGCGGCGCCCGCTCCCCGCCGTGGGAACCGGCGCTAAGCGGCCGCCCCGCCGTGGGAACCGGACCGGCGGTGGGAACCGACCCCGGCCCCGGTGAGTCCGTCCTTGTGCCCCCATCCCCTCCCTGGCCCCCATCGCTTCCTTGCCTCCCTCCATCCTCACCCTGTCCCTCGTGTGCTCTCTCTTCCAGCCCCCACCCCCCCCAGCCACCCCCCTCTTCCCCGGGTGTGCAGAACCATAGGGGGCTCATTTTTGGGGAGGGGTTGAGCTATCTGTATCGGAATGGGCTGAGTCCTCCCTATCGCCTCCCCGGGGATGCGGAGGGCCAGCCCCGGGGGTGCCTGCTGGGAAGCCCTCCCCAGCCTCAGAGTGCGGAAACTTTTTTGATGTGATGAGTTATTCCTCGAGTGGGGGCTCAGCGGCCGGGGTAGCAGGGCAGGGGGCAGGACAGAAGTCTCGGGTGGAGATAAACTACTTTTCTCCACCTCTGGTTTTTCCAAAGGGGAATTTTGAGATGCAAGGGGTGCGTAGGAGCCCCCAGCCCGGATGAAGCTTCTCCAGCTGGAATCCCTTCTCCTCTTCTTCCTCCAATGGAATGGTGGTTTGTAGAGTGCTCGGGATTGCCACGGCTGCAGAGTAATCCGAGCAGCAGCTGGAGGCTCCGCACCGCCTCCCGTGCTCGGCTTCGGGGCTTTGATTTCACATAGGGCTCCCTGCCTCCCTTCCTCTCCCTCCCCCTCTTTTCCCGGCCCTCCACTCCCCTCTCGGGGGCTTTTTGCTGGCGTTCTGGTGCTGGAAGGCTTCTAGGGTTTTGCAGCTTACTCAAGGTAAGGGGAGAAAAGAGAAGGGAAGGGAGGGAAAGCATAGAGGGGTCGGCTGGATAGGGTGAACAAGCTGGAAGGTGCAGAGGGCGATCTTTTCCCCCCGGATTGCATTGATAGAGGCACGGCAAAGCTCCCTGCTTGGGAATTTCCCCTCTATAAGTGGATTAAGCTGGAGAGGAAGGTGTGTTTGGGGAGGGAGGAGAGGACGCAGACCAGGATTTATTCTTTCTGTCATTGAAAAAAAAAGGAAGAAAGGAAGAAAGAAAGAAAGAAAGAAAGAGGGAAGCTGCTGGTTGTGACTTCTGAAACAGAAGGTCAGAAAGCCCGGGGTTCCCCTCGTAGCACACACACCCTGTAAACTTTTAATCAGCTCCATGGAAACTTGTTATTAATGCTGCAGTCATTAAAAGGTGCAGCCCACGGCAGATTTATTAGCTCAGTAAACCACAACACGTGCCAAGCTCTCTGGAAACAAAAGGGTCTGTCAACTTTAGTCCTCTTGCTTCGTATTTGAGAAGGCTGGGAGGAGAGTGGTGAGGATGGAGCTGGTGGCGAGGACAAAGTTGGTGGCTTTTGTCGTGGGGAAGTGGCATTGCCTCCGTTAACCGACGCTCTCCACCACGGTTAGCGAGTGTGATTTGGTGGCAGCGAAGACATTGGAGCACGGCGAGCCCTGCTGAGCTCATGCTGTTCATCGCGGCAGCGGGACGAACAGCCCCTAGTCTCTCAAATGGAAAGCTTTCCCCGTGTGCCTGCCATGATAAATCAGCTGCCGTGAGCCTGAATAACAGCATTCACTGAAGTTACAGTAGGAAACTTGTCTGGGCGGACACTGTGCCATTGCTCTGCAGAGAGCAGCCGGTGCCGATGGCTGGCGTTGTGCTGAAATATCGCATTGATCGCCGCTCCAAGGGTCAGCTGGCAGCACCGGCTTATTGCAGCGGTAAGGAGCAGAGCGAATACCGGGGGAAGAGGTGCTGGGGAATGGCAGAGTTAGATCAGTGTCTCGCCGATCTCTACAGGAATAAGAAGCTCGCTGGATGTGTTAGATGCTGGAAGGACCAGAGGCAGGCTGGCATGTCCCTGGGAGGATTTGCAGGCCAAACTTGGCTGGCTGCTTGCTGTCAGCAGCTAGGCGCTCACAGGCAAACCGGGTCGGTGTCTGCCATCACCCTGGTGCAGGGCAGGGATCGTGTCCTATCATGACCCACGGGAGCCAGTCCCTGTCCCAGAGAAGATGTGGGCGGTGCTTGCTCACATGTGGGTTATAAATGGCCCAACAAGGACCTGCCATCTCCCATCTCTGGAGCGGGTGCGCAGGGTGAGTGATGCTTGACAGCGGGGTAGGCAGGAGGTTGGGTGGCAGCACTGGGACAGATTTTCCCTTGCGGCATGCTGGAGCAGGGGAGACGTTGCTGTTTTCTGAATGAATTTGAGCAGCTACTGTCAGAGGCACTGGGGAGCAATGACAAAATGCGTGAATGATGACAGGCATCCCTGGGGACGATAAGTTCTGATGACAAGTTGGACTGGCAGGAAAGGCTGCAAGGTTGGGTTGAGGTTCTCCTGCACCCCCATTCTTTAAAACTGAGTTCCAGAAATTAACCAGCATTGAATGGGTGGGAGAAAATTGGGACAAAAGAGCTGTAAAGCAAAAAACCATGCAAAAGTTTTTTTGGTTTTGTTTTTTAATAGGAAAAACATTCTGTGCTTCCCCAGCCCCACAGTGAGCAGCCGTGTTTGCCACCCCAGTGCTAGACAGAGCTGAGAGAAAAAAGGTGAGCCACCATCTTTCAGAGGTTTAGAGTTTTCCCTCCATCCCTAACTGCTTTTTTTTATCCTCTTTCAGTCTCTCCTCCTTCCTTCTCCTCCTCCTTCTCCTCTCTTGTTAGCTGGTTGATGGGGAGAAGCAGAGGCTGAAGGGTGGGATAAGACAAGGCATCCTTGTCCGGCAGACCTCCTGACCCCTGACACCCCCAGGCTCTGCACGGTAGCTGCAGCATTGGCTGCCTTGGCAGGCTATCAAAAGAAACTTCCGAACACCGAGATGTTGAGGACTGGGAAGTGATAAAGGCTGGCTTGAGCAAGCCATTTCTTGTCTTAAAACTTGGCACCTGAACCTATTGAGGCAAATGTATGAACGGCACAGCCATTCATTAGAGGAAAACCTTGAGTTTTTTTACTGCAATCTTTTTTTTTTTTAATTTCCTGGGAGTTTCCATTGTATATATGGTGTGCAGCAGGGAAGAAGGAAATATGTGCTCTGGGAATTGCCTCAGCCTCCCTGCTCTGGGAAGCAAATGCTGCAAGAGATTAAAACAACCTTAGCATGGCACATTCCTGAGTTGCATAAATCAGGCTGGAAATCTGTATGTCAGAGTAGTGGCAAACTGGAAAAAAGCACTTTATCTTCACCGTAGTTGACAGAGGGCCATGTGCTGTGTGTAATATCTGAGTGCCAGCATCTGTGGGATTTCTTTTCCTTCCCCTTTCTCCCGTCCTGCTTCTTTTTTGCAGTCTGTGTCTCTGTGATGTTGACTCCTCTCCTTTTCCCTGATTCTTGCCAGCAACTCAAACCCTGGAGTGGGGAGAGAAATCACAGAATGGTATGGGTTGGACCTTAAAGATCATCCAGTTCCAACCCCCCTGCCATGGGCAGAGACATCTTCCACTAGATCAGCTTATTTAGAGCCCCATGCAAACCTGGCCAACACTTTCAGGGATGGGGACTAATTTTACTGAATTTTGGTGGTTTTTTTACTTTGAATAAGATCACCCTCATCAGAAAAAATTAAGACTTAAAGGTGAATTTTTGTTGTGACAGACAAGTCAAACTAGATGTGGTTCCTCAATCCCGTAATGTCTGAAGTGACACATGTATGTAAGGCTTGTGTGACTAGTCTCCAAGTGGGGCAGGAGACATCCCTGACCTCAAAATTAACCATTTTCCTCCCATCCTTGAGAATGAGATGTCTGTAGGAGGGGGCATGTTGAGGCCAAGTTTCACAGAGCAGGATGGATGAGATCCTTTCTCCAAAGCCCTTTAATCCCAGTGCAATGGTTCAGTTCATGCAGAAGGTGCAGCCCCTCTGTCTATCCAGAACTAGAGTGTTGCAACCTCTTGCAAGAGATCTCCAATTCAAAGGATTATAGGATTATAGGGTAACTCTGAACCTGGCCAGTCTCATAAAATGGGGGAGAGCATTGCTTTTCTGGACCATCCCCCATGGTGATGTCTCTGTCTCCTGTCTCTCTGTCTCCTGTGTTCACAACCTGGTGCATGGTGGCCTCTCCTGGCATTGAGGGAAGGAACAGTGTGCAAGGAGTCAGCACCATGTAGCCCATATGGGGGGCATGTAATAGGATGCTGTGATTTGGGAAGTCTTACTCTGCCTCTCTGTGAAATTAGACCAAATTGGGTTAGGAAGTGGCTTAATACACAGTTAAATGGTAAAGAAAAATGGTTGTCTGCATCCTGGATGACTCACAGCATCTCTACAGTATGGCAGAAGTGCCATAGAGCAGCACCAAAAGCAAGGGCCAAAGATAAGGGCAGAATGGAGGCAGGGGAGGTGAGCAGCACAGGTGAGCAGAGGTCCCCGGAGGGGCAGGCATGCTGTTGGCTGTCACCGAGACTGCAGCCACACCTCAGAGTCCATGAACACTGATTTGAGAGGCACTTAAATACTTCTCCACCACAACCACCTCCCCAGATGTCCCCTTCCCTGTCCCCTGGCCTGACTGCCCATTTTGTGGAAGACAAAGCAGGGCTGGTGTCCCTAGATTGTCCAGGCAAGGCAGGAGCTGGACATGGTGCACAAGGACAGCAGTAGCATTTGGCTGGACCAGGTGTGGCAGTGGCAGTGTTGGCTGGAGGCTTCTGCATAGGGGGAGACCAGACTGTCCTGACTTGTTCTCCCTTGCCACTTAAACACAGGGATGGTACCTCCATCCCCACACAGAAACAAACACCTCTTGGGCCTGGTGCTAGTCATTCTTACGGTGTCAGGAGGGAAACTGAGGCATGCAAATGAGGACTCATGGTAGCATCAGTGGTGAGAAATGGGTCCTGCTTGGGAAATGGCTCTCCCAACCCACTTCACATGATCTTTCTCCAAAATCCTGCACCAGCCAAGAGGGATTGGAAGATTTTAGGCCAAGGAGGGGAGAAAAAGAGCTGAGGAGATACCACACAACCACATCACTGGGGCAATGGAACATCATCTGGGGTGGGAACCATGGCAGTGACAATGCCCTGCTGGTAAACCCTTTATCAGCTTTACCTAGATCCCCTTCCCCTCCCCAAATCCCCCC